TACAGTCCGTCCAGAACCTCCTGCCACAAGAACAGTTTCTTCCCCAGAGCTCACTTTATACTCTTGCCACTTCATAACTTTGTAACTCATTGACATTTTATAACCTGAACTGTGTGCCATGTTTTTTTGTGTATGTGTGTGTATATATATATATATATATATATATATGTATATATATATATATATATATATATATATATATATATACATACAGACTGTGTGAGAGCCACTGTCCAGGACGAAACATCCAAACTCCATAACTACATCATGGAGAAGGCCAAAACGGATGACGTACTCAGTGAATGTCTCAGGCAGTGGCGAGATGAGGAGGTGCTGGAGGAGAGCCCATCATGGGAGAACAAGCCCCTACACGGCATGTACCACCGGAGCATAACAGAAGTGGCTGATCTCAAGAAGTCCTACCAATGGCTAGAAAGGGCTGGCCTACAGGACAGCACAGAGGCACTCATCATGGCTGCACAGGAACAGGCACTGAGCACCAGAGCGATAGAGGCCCAGATATACCACACCAGACAAGACCCAAGGTGTCGGTTGTGCAAAGAGGCACCTGAGACGATCCAACACATAACTGCAGGGTGCAAGATGCTGGCAGGGAAGGCCTACATGGAACGCCATAACCAAGTGGCTGGCATAGTGTACAGAAACATCTGTGGAGAGTATGGGCTGGAAACCCCAAGGTCTAAGTGGGAAACTCCTCCAAAGGTGGTGGAAAATGAGCGTGCGAAGATCCTGTGGGACTTCCAGATACAGACCGACCGAATGGTAATGGCAAACCAACCTGACATCGTGGTGGTAGACAAAGGGCAGAGGACAGCCGTGGTGGTGGACGTGGCAATTCCAAGCGATGGTAACATCCGGAAAAAAGAACATGAAAAGCTTGAGAAATACCAAGGTCTCAGAGAGGAGCTGGAGAGGGCCTGGAGGGTAAAGGTGACAGTAGTGCCCGTGGTGATCGGTGCACTCGGGGCAGTGACCCCGAAGCTAGATGAGTGGTTACAGCGGATCCCCGGAACAACCTCGGACATCTCGGTCCAGAAATGTGCAGTGCTAGGAACAGCAAAGATACTGCGCAGAACCCTCAAGCTCCCTGGCCTCTGGTAGAGGACCCGAGCTTAGAGAGGGATAACCGCCCGCGGAGGGCCAAAGGTGAGTGGACAATTTTTTTTTTTTATATATATATATATATATATATATATATATATATATATATATATATATATATATATATATATATATATATATATATATATATATATATATATATATATATATATATATATATATATATATATATATATATATATATATATATATATATATACGGTGGCACGGTGGCTGAGTGGATAGCACTCTCGCCTCTCAGCAAGAAGGTCCTGGGTTCGAATCCCGGTCGGACCAGGGCCTTTCTGAGTGGAGTTTGCATGTTCTCCCTGTGTCTGCGTAGGTTTCCTCCGGGTACTCCGGTTTCCCCTACCACTAAAAATATGTCCAATAGTTCTGGCATGTTCTTCCTGTACTGGCGACCCCGCTCCCATCTCTGTGTGGAGTGAGAGACAAATGCCCAAAATTAACAATTGTAAACCGCTTTGAGACTCAGATCTGCAGTGAAAAGGCGGTATATAAATAAAAACTTACTTACTTACTATATATATATATGTAATATATATATATATATATATATATATATATATATACATTGAATTTCTGTGTGTAAAATTCCTTCAGGAATGTCTTACGAAAACTACATGTGAAACTCAAAAATAAGAGTTCCATTTACTACTGTAATTTAAATTACAATGTGAAACTAATATATGACTTATTACACGCACAGTGAGATATATCAAGCCTTTATAAATTGTTATAAGGTTGATGATTATTACTCGCAGCTGTAAAAACTCCATATAAAACCTCTACACAAATTATGATCTTTTGAATATTAATAATCATTAACATTATTTAATCCAGCAGCAAACACAGGGAATTATTTTATCAGTTCTTTGTCTGTCTCTCACATTGCCATGATAGCCGTGCTAATGTTGAATGAATGTTTTGAATGAATAAACAAAATAAAAGCAATGTAATTATACATAGATTATGAAAAATAAATTGACAATTGATGTCCAAAATAGGAGTGGGAAGAATGGATGTTGGAACATATTTCTTCAGCGTATCAACATCAGGGTTTGCTCCAGAGGATATCACCTTTTGATTTTTTTAATTCCCTATGTTTTAGACATGTGTAAGTCTCACATAGAGACTAACATTATTTTAATTGGGTACATGTGATCTCAAATGATTCTTATTACAATTAAGCTTTAATCTGCAAATAACAGCTTGTTTTTACCTTTTACTGTTTTTGAGCAATCTTCCCCATAGAATAAATCATATATAGTTTAATCCAAAACATGTCTCGCCCGGACATGAACCCAGACCACTGCCAGAGCTATGATTTGACCAAGACCGCCATTGCATACAAGTGGTGATGGACTCCAGGCAGGTACTTGAACTGTCAAGTAAGAACTCAACGCAGCAAGTTCTGAATCACGGAAAGTTTTTATCTGCCTTCAATTGTCTAAATTTTTCAAAGGCTTCCTGATATAAATCCTTGTTTTAGTCTTTGTTTTGTCATTAATGATTTGAGAGTCATAATATGACCTCTTTTAGTTCTGCGGCCACAAGTTATTTAACCAGTGAGATTAGCCGCGCAGAGTTCTGGCAACCCGGATCTCTGACTTTCTGATCGGTGAAACAGCGGCAGGTGGGACATCAAATGAAAACAATAATAACTGTCACTCCCGTATTCGTCCCGGAAACCGGATTCGTCCGGAAGTTCAGTTTGATCCAATAAGCATACGCAGAGGTAGATTACGTCACGGAATCAGGACGGAAGCGGAAGTAAATATAAAAAACTACCTATTCATGCCTAAACTTAACCAGCCATTCCCATAAAATAACCCCAACCCAGCCTTAACCATAAACTTAACCATATTAATCAGACGCCTAAACTTAACCAGTCACCACTTAAGGACATATTAAACTTTTTGACATGTGCAAACTGAACTTCCGGACGAATCTGACTTCCGGACGAATCTGGTTTCCGGGACGAATACGGGAATGACAGCAACTTTTACGGGTCGTAAAACTAATTTTGATATTCAAATATCTCGGCTGAACTACTGTTATCAGTTAAATATGTATTTGCATGATTTAATAACGCCTTTTGAAATATTGGAGCCATTTAATGATGACTTGACATGCAAATATTACATATTGCTACTTTAAGTCTCCGAGTTTCAGCAGTATATTTTACTATTTAATTACCATTTCCCCATAACGCCAAAGCAAACTTCTAGTTTGTGAACTTCAATTTCCAGTTCACTTACCATAGCAAGAAAACGTTCTCTTACTATTCACTCACTTACTCACTTACTTACTATGCTAACACCAGTAGGAGGAGTCAAATTAGTGAACACACCACCTGCAGGAGGATCAGTGAGGGTGCTCTGAATTGGGTGCAGCTCTGACTGCCACCTCCCCTGACCCAGTGATTAAGGGGAAGACGATGGATGGATCTATAAAACAACTCCTGGTCTGTTTGTGATGAATATGTTGTAACATGAATATGTCTTCTATGAAGGAACCATCCGTCTTTAGCCTCCAACAGCCCTTGTCTGTATTTCAGAGTGAAACTGTTCTGAAAAGAGTTTGGACATAAAGTTTGAAGATGGTGTATTATTTGGACCTTGCAGCTGAAGGGTCGGGCGGGCCATATTGGAGAATTTCACTCCAGACCAACCCATGCTGAATTTCCTTCACTTTTACGTCGATGTGGTGTTTTCAGTCTTCATTTTCAGCTACTTCAAGTCTGCCCACGTGTAAAGTATAATTTCAAAAAGAGTGTTATTTTTATTTACTTTTTTGCAGTTGTTTTTCAGCTTTGATCACAGCTCAAGCACAGACTCACTCGAGTTAACGGCAACAGCTGAAAAATGTCCTTACAATTATTCCACCACAAAAGGCCTGACAGCAGTAATTTGTATGTCACCCCTGCCCTATCCTCCAGCGCGCCACAAAAGCCAGAGCAAACACCACCAAGGAAACGGCACGGATTATGCATGATTTTTCCATCAGAGAAAAATGAAAATAGCCACACATAATTCATTGTTCAACTAATTTCCTTTGTCTGACAGCTATGGTTCAACTTGACACAGTCTGAGGCCATGGGACAGAAATGAACGGTATGAAAACCAATCGATGTTTTACACTCGACCAAAACATGTTTGTACCGTCACCGGCTGAAAAGGCGTCATTGTTCTGTGACTATAGACTCACTCAAAGGCTGTTTATTGTACTTTACCATAACTTGTTTTGTTTTTTCCAACAGAAAGACTCTCGTAAAAGTACCATGTTGTGAGAAAGTCAGTACACCTTAAACTGTACTCATCTCCTTAGAAAATATTTGTTTTCTTTCACTCTATTTAACTTTTCCGTCTGACAGAGCTTGTCCACTCTCTTATCTAATCAAGTTATTGCTAATTGTATGGTCTATTCTTTTTTCTGTATAAATTGTTGGTTGTTGCTTATTCTATAATCCAGGATGTGCATATGTAATTAGTTTTGTGTGTCTTTGTGTCCTCGATCTGTACTGTCTTTATTGTGATATGAAAACTTTGTCATTAACTTTTTGCTTCAGCCTACTCCCTTTAATACTGTTAACATAAATAAAGAGTTTGTCTAAAGATGTGATGCATTTGAAAACTAGTGATAGCACCAAACTGTTTAGAGCTGTGGGAACTTTATAGTGATATTATATGTTGTTTAAAAGTTTGTACCCCAGGCTTAATATCTCAAAAACACATACACTAGCCTGCTCTTTTTAAAATGTTCTTGAACATATCTAATCTTGCAGCGGCACAAGCTATTCACTAAAATAGCAGTGATAAGTTGGACTTTGCAGGGATAGACTAGAAGCTTGGTACCTGCTCTGGACTGAGGCCCGGAGGCACCCACACGTACTCCTCCAGAGCACAGCCAGAGTCGTCGTCGGATGTGGAGTTCCTCTGGAAGTCGTACATGATTTTGGTGATGGTCTTCTCCATCTCTAGCGACATGGTGGTCACAACATGCCCCTCCACACAGACAGAAGAAAGGCCCACAGGTTTCCCTGGAGACACAACACAAACAACAAGGTAAACATCATAACCTTTTGCATCTGCAGGCCAAATTTTCATCAATATTAAACTTCATTCAAATGTACTGCCAATATATTCCCCCTCAATATTCTCAGCAAAATGTATTTGATTCCTGGAACTGCTGGACCAGAGATGACATGGATAAATTTAAGATGTTTTCTTTCTTCGCCTTTTTGGCTGAGGCCAGAGCAGCTGTGCTCATGAATAATTTAGAGCAGCAGGAATCGAGCCAAAAGTTTCCAATTAAACACGAGTCAAATCTCTGAAATCGTATTATTTATAGCGTTTACCTCATGATTAGAGTTGGTTTCACTAATGACTATCAGGAGACATCTATGTGGTTTTAATTGCAGTTGATCGCCTTATGTTCATTCATAAGAACCAGGTACTTAGCACTTAATACTGATCAGGGCAAAGTAAATCTATAACGTCAGAGCTATGGTTCTACATCCTTACAGTATGTTGTGTTTCTTTAATATTCCTTTCTGCAAACCCATTGCATTTGCCTAAATAACCTTTTTGCTCTAAACTTTGTATTTTCCCTCTGGCTAAAATAAAGCCGGCTTCTCCGGTCATATGAAAGCTGAGTTGTGTTTTTCAACACAGATGGAAGCAGGTGATTGGTCTGTGAGCAGAGACAGCAGCCTGTAACCCTGAGCCTCTGGGCCGCCCCCAGGCCCCCATCATAACACAACGCAGCCAGCATTCACAGGCTCTCTCAGAGGATGTGAAAGAGAAAAACACAACTCTGAGAAGACAAATCCAAACTTTATGTAAGTGATATCTAAATTTGAATAAACAGTCAATAGTCAATACTCTATTCCCGAGAGACAGCAGAGACTATCCTTCATTTAGCTTTGTCTGTAGTAAGTATTGCACTGTGGCCCGTGGAGAGATGCTAAGTGTTTGTGGATGAAACAGCAGGTTCTGATGAGTAAGAGCCGCACCTTGGGATTGTGTGAACGATGGCCAATGTTGTTCTTTTAAAAATGTGGTGTTTATTCACACTAAGCAGGAACAAAGACATAAAAACTGCCACTATAAGATTAAACAAACACAAGCACCCTTTCAAACCTTCCATTTCAATTCAAAAGCCGAGAATTTGCCCATAACTCAATAAACATTATGAATCTAAAAAGATAATGTCTTAATTTTACTTCAAGTAAATTAGTCAGCTAATCTTACAGAGTATGATCAGAGAGAGACAAAACCAAACTTATGGTAAACTTATCAAGCGATCTGGTGTAGACACTGTCGTTTTGGACAAATAAGGAATTTGTATCTCTGACTTCGACTTCTTCGATCATTATGTTGCAAGATTATGATGTCCTCTCATCAAAAAAGACCTGTTGTTGTTTTCAGATCCATCCACGCTAATATCAGCAATTTATGGCACACACTTGTAACTCCGCCCCTTCAGTCTAAAAGCTCCTGTCTCATTCCTGTTTCAGTATAATGTTATTGTTCCACTATGTCTGTGATGACTTTTAAAACATTTAAACAGTATTGCCGATAATGTCTAAGAATTTCTCTGGTGAAATGATGTTCTTTACAATCACATGTAATGACTGTGTTAGCTGCTGGTAATTGTCAAATATGGAAAAACACAAAACAAATTCTACCCCTCCCTCTGGTCGTAACATAGAGATAGGACTGGCCAAAAGCATTCTTTAAACATTTTTCTTTTTCTAATATTTCAATTTCTAAATATGAAATGACTGAGTATCATTGTAATTTTATTTGCCGAATATAATGGTAGTTTCTTTACAACAGGTGCCAGTCGTCAGTGGACCCTGAGTAAATGTATTTTCAGGGGCCCGCTTCCCAGCAGCTCACTCAGGCTTTTTGGTGAGTCACAACATGGCACTCAGCCAAGAGGACCACCTTCAATGTCTTTCAGAACTTGAACGATCTTGGAAATTTGTTGGAACGTTGAGACGAGTTGCAGATTTTGATTGATGACTCCTCCCTCTCAGGACAAAGCAGTTTAACCTCACAGACACGAGTCAAAAAGTCTCTTTAGAGAAAACATGGTCCGGACAAAACTTTCAAACTTGTTCTACGATGTGACCACAAGGGGATATGCTTCTTGATTAAGATATGACGAGATTTGATATTATCCAGTTGACAATGTGGGCTCTTTCATAATTTGTGAGAAACTTTTGAGAGTCCTGGTAGACTCCTGGTGGCCCTACGCATGCCGCCTATGCCTACGATTAAGTAGAGCTGGCTCTGATTGCAACCACAACGTAAAGGGGAACGGCTTGTCTCATTTATACAATAGTTATGGAATAATACATTGAAAAATTAGACATCTTTATTTTGCTGTTTGCCTGTTTTAACTTTAACCCTTAAAGGAGCAATATGTAATATTTGCATGTCAAGTCATCATTAAATGACCCGAATATTTCAAAAGGCGTTATTAAATCATACTCTTTTCGAATTCATCTTTAACTGATAACAGTAGTTCAGCCGAGATATTTGATCATCAAAATTAGTTTTACGACCCGTAAAAGTTGTTATTGTTTTGATTTTGATGTCCTACCCTCCGCCGTTTCGCCAATCAGGAAGTGTCATGTAAGTCCGTGATCGAGTTGCCAGAACTCCGCGCGGCTCATTAATCTCAGTGGTAAAATAACATGTGGCTCAGAACTAAAAAAGGTCTTGTTATGACTCTCAAATAATTAATGACAAAACAAAGACTAAAACGAGGATTTATATCGGGATGCCTTTGAACAATTGAGACAGCTGATAAAAGTTTACGTGTGATGCAGAATTTTCTAGTTTGAGTCCGTTCTTCACGGTGTCTATGATCGTGTGAACCGGTGGTCTAGCGGTCTAAGCTGCGCGCTTACGATGCAGAAACCCGGGTTCGATCCCGGGCTATGTTTTTTTGTATTTATTGCATGTGATCACATTCTATGACAGATTGCTCTAAAAACGGTAAAAGATGAAGGTCAAGACGTTTTTTTGCAGATTATAGCTTAATTGTAAAAATAATCATTTAAGACCACATGTACCCCAATTAAAATAATGTTAGTCTCTTTTTGATGTGGGACTTTTACATGTTTGTCTAAAAAATAGGGAATAAATAAAATTGAAAGGTGATATCCTCTTGAGCAAACCCTGATGTTGATACGCTGAAGAAATACGTTCCAACATCCATTCTTCCCACTCCTATTTTGGACATCAATTTCTTATTTATTTTGCATAAACTATGTATAATTACATTGCTTTTATTTTGTTTTTGTTTTTTATCTCAAATGCCCAAATTATAATAATAAAAAAACATGAATCAAAACATTCATTCAGCATTAGCACGGCTGTCATGGCAATGTGAATGGAGACGGACAAACAACTGATAAAATAATTCCCTGTGTTTGCTGCTGGATTTGGTGTGAATCTGGCAACCTGAGTCAGGGAGAGTGGGAGAGGACTACAAAATATTGACTGTGACTGCAGTACCACTTTTGGCCAGATTTTTACATATTGCTCCTTTAAATGTAAAAAAGCAAAGTGTGATTTTTATTTTCTAAGATGTAGGACACTAATGACACAGATATCCATCCATCTATCCATTTTCATCCCCTTAATCCATTTCTAGGTCAGGGGGGTGGCAGTCAGAGATGCACCCAGTATACTTAGCACCAGCCCCTCATATAATAATACACACATAATTTGGTTTTATTTATAATCTTATTTTTTTTAAACCCGTAGTTTTTGAAAATATAGGCTTTTACCAAATGGCTAAGATGCAGTTTGATGGTAAAAGGGCCTAAAACCAAGTGATCGAGATTCCCCAATGAGGTAAATTTCAGTCCCAAGCTTCAAGTGACTAAAAAGTGATCCACTAAGATAACTTATTGTGCACTCATGGGAGATTCAATCATTTAACTCAGCATAACTAGTTAGAACTATAACCGTGGAGACTTTCCAACTTTTCTTCAACACTTGGTCACTGGGAGGATCCAGGTTCATTAAAATCAGCAGTAGCTCCTTTATCCTCACGGTCATTGATGAAGTAGAATGATGAGGAAAGACTAGGAAGGAGTTTATTTCAACCAGTTTGGAGAATGGAGGAATGAACTTAGACTAGACAGATGTATTTACTGTCCCACCAAACAATGTTATAACGGGGAAAAAGTAACTTAGCTTTAATTGCACCAATGTGAGTGCAGTGTAATCTGTATACATTGGCACATCCCATCCTATTTTGGAGCCCATAGTTAGCACATGTAAAACAGGCAATCAGGCTCAGGCAGGTTACACAGATTGCGTGCTATTTTTACCAAGTCCATACAACCAGATCTATTTCAGGAAGTAATCAGTGCGAGGCTTGTCCAGTGACTGATTGGCTGCCATAAAACCACTCTCTGTCTTGCCAAAAACATAGTCCATTATTATTGCACGTGGCTTTCCCTTTTGACCTTTGGAGCGTGACAAGATTGCAATTAACACCATTGTCCCTGAAAATCCACTGAAGTCTGTAATTTGTCTCTAGAGGGAGTTGAAGACCAAAAGTGACAGGCAGGAGGATTAGACTCTTGGATTTCATGATATCAAGAGGGACTTGATTGCAGTGGTGATAAAGAATATGATAACACTCACATTGACGGTGAAAATCATCTTGAAAATGTAGATGATGAGGAGGCTGTAGTCCAGAGGTTATCGTTTGATTTTCAAGTCAGTTTTATTCTGCTTTAATCTGGGATTGAAATGTAAACCATTAAGAAACATGTGAATATTCTACACAATATTTTAAATAATTTGTATTTGACTTTTCCCATTTATTGATTTACATTCATTGATATTGTGTTGTGTGCTCCTCATTCCTACTGTTCTGTAACTTGTGTTGCAACACTAACATTTTCCCACTGTGGAAAAATAAAGGATCTCTTAATCTTAGTCTGTACATCCTTTGGAGTTATTTAGACACTGAAGAACAGGGGTCTCAGGAGCTACCGGTTGCTCGCCAGGGCAGCCCCTTTCAGGTAGCTCCTCAAGGGCTTTGGAATTTAACACATGATTTTGAATGAATGGATTTTGAGTATAACATGTCTATTATAAGTAACAATTAGGGTTAGACAGTATTATGGTATATTTTACATTTGTCTCTGGCCTCACTTCACTGGCTCCCTGTCACATTCAGGTAGGATTTAAAGATTCTGATGTTTGTTTTAAAATGTTTATAGTGCCCAGGTCTCGTCTCAAAACTCGAGGAGACTGGGTTTCTGCTGTTGCTGCTCCCAGACTGTGGAATGGTTTACCTGAGAGCGGGTTCTTCATTGGAGACTTTTAAATCTAGTCTTAAGAAAAATCGCATGCCTTGGCTTTATCCACTTTTTCCACCTGGACAGCAACAACGTTTTACTGTTTGACATCTTACAAGTATGTGTGGGTATTTAATTCTGTTTTCTTTTCTTTTTTTCCTTGGGTATGTGAAGCATTTTGGGAAGCATTTTTGTGCAATACAAATTAGAGTCACCACAACACCACCTCAATGACCGGACAAACCAAACTGCCTTCTACCACGTCTGGCCTTGTTGTATCTGAGGAACAAATGAATCTGAGGCAAATCAACAAAGTGGAAAGTCCTATGCAGGGTGCAACCTCGCTGCTAGTTGTATTTTAATTATACAATAATCTGATTACTTTTCTGTTGGAACATCACTTGAACCAGAACTGTCTGGACCCTGTTGTGACTCA